ATCGCAGCCCCCCAGGGATGGCGAGATCTAATTTGACTCCGCGGTGGGTACCCACTGCGCTGGGCCCCCCAGCAGGCCTCGAAAGTGGCGACAATTTCACAGATCGCAGCCCCCCAGGGATGGCAGGGGGGAAGAGAGGGACGGGAGGGGGTGGGAAGGAGACGCGCGAGCAGTGCTCTATTCAAAACGATAACCCAACGCAGGAGGGTTGGGAAAAAAACTGTCAACTGTGGCTTGGAAATGCCAACCCTTTTTATGAAGCACCCGAGGCTCTCACCCTCCAAGCTGTGGTCAGGCCTTTAGGTGGGAGGAGGAGGAGTGACGATGAGGAGGAATAGGCGCAAGCAGCAACAGGAGCGGAAGGAGTTGGGATGCTGAGGTGGGGGGAAAGGGGGGGGCGAAGGGAGGAGGAGGAGGAGAAGGAGGAGGACGAAGAAGAGGAGGAGGAGGAGGAGCAAGAGCAAGAGCAGGAGCAGGACCAGGAGGAGGAGGGGGAGAAGGACCAAGAGCAGGAAAGAGAGGAGGGGAAGGAGGAGGAGGAGGAGGAGGAGGAGGAGGAGCAGGACGAGGAAAATGATGAGCAAAAACCCACCCTTCCTCGCAGTTGGGTGGCGCGGAGGCCGCCGAGGCCGCAGACGGCAGCAGTGGCTGCGCCCCCGACGCCGCTGCGCTGGCGGCGGACGGCCCCGAGGATCCCCCCGACGACGAGGACGACGACGACGACGACGACGACGACGACAACGACGACGACGACGACGACGACGACGACGACGACGACGACGACGACGACGAGGACGACGACGACGACGACGACGACGACGACAACGACGACGACGACGACGACGACGACGACGACGCCGACGACGACGACCACGACGAGTACGACGACGACGACGACGACGACAAGGACGACAAGGACGACGACGACGGCGACGACGGCGACGACGAGGACGACGACAACGAGGACGAGGACGATGACGACGATGACGACGAAGACGACGACGAGGACGACGACGACAACGACGACGACGACGACGACGACGACGACGACCACGACGAGGACGACGACGACGACGACGACGACGACGACGACGACGACGACGACGACGACGACGGCGACGACGACGACGACGACGACGACGACGACGGCGACGACGACGACGACGACGACGACGACGACGACGGTGGCGGCGTCGGTGGCGGCGGCATCGGCGGCGGCGGCGGCGTCGGCGGGGGCGGCGGCTGCCGGCGGTGGCGGCGGCGGCTCGGCAGCGACGTTGGCAGGGCCATGTTTGGGATCTTGGGAGCCCTGGCACGCGTGTGAGAGTGGCCAACGTGTCGCTCGTCGCAATATGTGAGCTCATCACAGCGTAGCGTGCGAGTCTTTGGGCTGATACCGCCCCAACTTAACTGAACTGAACTGGGGGCCCTGGCGATCGATTCCTGGCTGCTTGTTCGGGGTCCTGGGGGCCGTACAGCCGAGCTCTCCTGAAGAGGCTCGGCAGAGCCATCTTAGGCGCCGTCTGGGCCAGTCTGCGGTCCGTGTTGGAGGCCTCCTGGGGCGGTCTTGGGCCGTCTTGGAGGGCTCTCGGGCTCTTTCGGGGCCATGTTGGGGGCTCTGTGGGGCCTTCTTGGGACTATCTGAAGCTCTCTTGGGGCCGAGTCAGGCCGAAAGGGATGCGAAGCTGCATCATCGCAAACCTGTGGGTTCTCGAATGTTCTTGCGCCGCCCCAGGCTTCATCGTGGGGCATGTAGGAGGTATTGGGGTTGCCTTGGTCTGGTCGTGGAGCACCTTGTACCCGTCTTGGAGCCGTATCGGGGCCGTTGAGAGCGCCGGATATGGAAACGTCGGGGTGCAGCCTTGTTACGCGAGGGTACGTCACACGGGGGGTCGCCTCTGGTCAGCTGGGCTCCTGGACTCAGCGGAGCCGTTTGGCGATGTCTGACGAGGATTTGTACGGTTCTCCGCTTCCTCGTCCTCCCCTTCGTTCCATCTCATCATTCTGAATGTAATATCCTCGGCCCTTCGGGCATCGGGTCGTATTGGCATGCCGCTCTCTCGATTCCTCCTTCGGGCCACGGTTCACTGCATCAGTTTGCACACTACAGGTCGACTTGTGTGGCGTTCCCGATGTGCTTGGCGACATTTCGATTCACACGGGTTTCTACCTCGTCTTGTGGAGATGTGTGGTCACATTTTCTCCCTCTTCCTCCTCTAATAGGAGACGCTGGGGGGTCGCCATGGCAAAATTGCAGACACCCTATTGGACAGCTGAACGTTTATGATGGAAAGCGGATATTGTCTACACGCGTGGCCCGTTAACTAAGCGAAGCGGTTAGAAATTGCGCTGCAGAAAGGCTCGTCTTGGAGGAATCGAGAAGCTTGCATCTCGCATTAGGCGGAGCCTGTCGGAAGGCCTGCAGAAGCAGGCAGAAGTGCGACATCGGCGGCTTCGCCGGCAGAAGCCAGTCCAAAGCCTTCCCGAAGCAAGCGGAATAGAATGTGTACCACCCAAGAGAGGCCAACGCTGGCGTCCTCAGGGCCCCCTGAGACGGCCAAAAAGGGGAGGAGCGTGAGGGGGGCGGAAAGCGCAGCCCCAGGAGGTAGCACACCATGCTTCGGCCAAGTTGGCATCCCTGTTCGGCCTCCAGCGATATCAAGAGGCATCAAGCTAACCGAGGAGGGCTCCAGGAGGCTGCCAAAATGGCCAAACAGGTCGGGGAGACGGTCTGTCGGGGCCCAGGATGCTCAGACAGGTGCATGCGAGGGCCAAGAAATGAGGACCCAGAAAGCCAAAGACACCGAATTATCCCTTGTGGTTCAAGGTCTGTTGAATTTCAAAGGGCCTCCACAGCACTCCAAAAGACGACTCGCGACGGCCCAAGACGTCCAGAAGAGGCCTCCAAGAGGGCTTCCAGACGGTCCCAAGACGCCTCATGAGGTCTCGTTTTTCTTCTCAGGGATTTAGTTCTGGCATGAGACAGGGGCCAGCGAAACCAAACACCACAGCTACGGCTGAGAGGCACTAGCCTCAAGGAACTCGCCCAGGAGTGGCCACTGCGCGACTATCTTCACGTCGTTGCCTCACACAGGGTCTTGGCCCCGAGCGAAGCGACGCAGCTTGTGCTTTGCCGCCGCGTTGGGTTGCCAGCCAACTACAGTCGAGGCGGGGCAGGCTTTGTCCAGCCCGAAGGGATGCGACGAGGTATATTGGCCACATGTCTTGAAGAGCAGCAGAGTGTCACCTACCTCGGCCTCAGGCAGAGGGATGAGCTCACACCACTCTATGTCGTGGGACCTGGCTTACAGGGCAACCTGATTAAAGCCACACGGGATGTCGTTCGGCCTACAGTCCTTGGGGCAGGGGGCACTGGCCGGGTTCCCTTCGGCCGCAAACAACACTTGCACCGTCACATGGAGGGCCCGACCTTGACGAACGCATGCACGATCTTACAGGCAGGCACGCGCCCGCTGCGGGGGCGCCGAAGGTCTTTCCACTCGTCCCGAGGGGCTGGTCCCGACTCAAGCACACGGGCGGCGGTACACATCATTATTTTACCCTGAGGACTTGGCCCTCAAGGGTAGCCACAGCAGGCCCCACGCAGGCGTGCAATCCACATGCAAGCTTGGCGGCCTGGTCGGCCTGATCGTTTAGCCAGGCGCGCCTGTCGGCCTCAGAAACGGGGAGGGGCAGGACCTCCACGTGGGCGTTCTGCTTGACCAGGCCGCTGTAGGCCCTATTTTGGCGCGCACCTCCAAAGGCTCCCGAATTTACTTTTGGGAATGCCTCCCGTGGCGGCCCCTGCGAGGCCCACAGTGAGGACAGTACTGCAGTCCCCCACGTACGGACACGAACCATCACTGTACTTGGCCCCTTGGGCGAAGACCAAGAAACCATCAGGATGCCCCAAGACGACCTCCAGCGAGCCCCAGAGAGCTCCAAGGTAGCCCCAAAATGGCCACAGAGGACCTCAAGGTGGCCGAATGTGGAAACAAGCCCCAAGTGGAGGAGAAGGAGAAGGCTGGCTGGCTGGTTATTAGTTGATTGGCTGCTGGTTAACAGGCTGGCTGACCAGTTGGCTGGCTGGTCGGCTGGTTGGATACCTGCCTAGTTATTTGGTTTGCTGGTTGGCTTTCTGTTGGTTGCTTCGCTTGCTGGTTGCTTGGCTCGCTGGCTGCTTGGGTGACTGGCCGCTTGGCTATTCGGCTGGCCCGTTTTCAGGCTGGCTACGTGGTTGGTAACTTGGCTCGGTGGCTGGTTGGTTGGTTAGCGCGGTTTGTTGGTTGGTTGGTTGGTTCGTTGGCTGCCTGGCTGGCCAACGGGGTTCGCTGGTTAGTTAGTGCGTTGATTGTTTGGCTGACTCACTGGTTGGTTTGCTGGCCGATTGATTGCTTGGTTGGCTGACTGCCTGGCTGGTCGGCCGGCCGTTTGGCTGGCTGGTTGGCCGCTGGCTGGCTGGCTTTTTGCTTGCTTGGAAAACAGCGTACAGACACGCCAGCGAATTTGTTTGCCTCTCCTCCCCCTCCTCCCTCTTCTCCCCTCCTCTCCTCCCCTCCTCACGCATCACGCCTCAGACCACCCCCTGTGAAGGAGCTGCTCCGCCAGCTGGGGGCAATCCTGCCGCCGGTCTGACGCATCAGGCGATCCGCCCGCTCCCGCCCCCCCCCCCCCCCGGAGGAGGACGGGGCCAAGGCGGAGGGGCAGGCGCTGGGCGAGGAGGAGGAGGAGGAGGTCTTGGTCGCCTACAGGTTAGTCTCGGCGCTCAGCGAGCTCAGTGGGTGGCTTGTGAGGTTGGGATAGAGTCGCTTGCAGTCCCAGAAAAGAGAGTCCGTATCGCCATTTGGAATCAAGGCTGTTCTGCAAGTCCAGTCTCCAGCCACACTGGCCTCGCCGGTGCGCCGCGGGCGGAGACATAGCGGTTGTGGGGGTGGAGCTCCTGGCTCGAGCTGGCCAGGGTGCCAGCGCCTGGTGGACGCACGCGCGCGCTGCGGTGGCAG